GTTAAACACAGTAAAACACAAACAATAAAAAAATACTATAAAACGATAATAATAGATATGCATAGGTTAAATGAGGTCACTTTATCGAATTAATATCTGGTAAATTATCACTAACGACCTATACCAATACTGTATCCATGACCACGTGGTTGCTTCAGAGGCCGTGTCACACTAGCACTTTTTCCGTCAATTTTTTGACAATTTTATTTAACATAAAATACAAACATCTCGAATATAGCTCTTGATCTGACTATGCTTGGCTGAAAAAAAGTTAACGGAAAGATTTTCAAACGGAAACGATCATTATCGTCTGACTGGAGAATCGACAATTCGCTCAAAAATGGACAAAATTTCAGAAAATTGTAAAAAAAAAAAAAAAAAAAAACGGAAAAAGTGCTAATGTGACTGTACCTTACGACCGGGGCAGACTGCTAGTGAGAATCCCCTTCTTTGTATACCGGCTTCCCCTTTTGCTTGTGGGCGGGAATGGTGTAAAATGTTGGTTCTTTTTCTCTTGATTAAAATGGATAAAATAAATCATAAATCTAATATATATGTATGAAAGTCTAGATTAATGTAATAATGTTAAAATGATAATCCATAAAAAAAACTAAATTTAAATAATTATGTAAAAAGAACCAATGTTAAAATCACCTAAAACACTATAAAACACTTGAGATACAAATTCCATAGCACCCTCGATCATCTCCCTAACCCATTCCATTGTTTAGAGGTGTTTAAGGGGTCTATAAGGGGTATATGAGTACTCAAACCTTATCCATTCTCATTTACTCTCTGACAGCTTTCCATAGCACCCTGGATCAGCTCTGTAACCCTTGCCGTTGTTTAGGTTTATTTAAGGGGTCTATAAGGAGTATGAAAATTTTCATACCATACCGTCTAATTTAGTAATTTACTCTATGATAGGTTTCCATAGCACCCTAAATAAACATGCAGCCATGTACTGATGCTTCAATATTTATAGGGACCCCTTACCGGAATGCCACATAGCCTAAGCCATGCAGGACCTCAAGACCTTTCTAACGTGCCCAAGAAACTCCTTGTGGTTGCTGAGAAAAAGTGAACTTAAATAGGTTTCTGGTTTTGCGGTATGAAAGTTGTTAATATATAGCTCTGTGGCTGGCCCCCTTGTTTTTGGTTCAGTTGGATTAGGATTGGTTGTTTTTCTTTTTTTTTTTTTGCCAGAAAAAAGATTTGTCAGCAGATGTGGCAAGTGTGGGGCGCAAGCATCCTCCTCATATCACGAGATAAACGCCCTTTTCTCAGGGACTGTGGTTGATTTGGACGATCAGAGAGTGCGTCACATTGTTAGTTAATAATTAATACTATTGGGCAAAGGGGCGAGCGACGTCAATAGGGCAACCCAACCTTTAGAAAGTGCAGGGCAAAATACCGCTACCTCGCAGGTCTTACCAGGTATGGGTGTTGCCACTTTGAGGTCATAGCTTTATTTTTCGATTGCCTATGGGAGAGTTGGAGGCGAGAAAAGATATTTTCACGACATTGCATGACCTCCTGGAGTGATCAATATATTTTTTTGCGAAATCTATCACTACAGCTCAGTTTGTCCCCTCAAGGTCAAGCTCCCCCTGCACCTCCCAAGGTTCTTTCGCCCACTTTTTTTTTGTTTACCTAAATTACAAATATATATCTCTGGATACAGCTTAAAATGACCCAAGCACAGTGCATATTTCAAAAACTTGACACGCCTGCAGCTTAAAAAAAAAAAAAAAAAAAAAAAAAAAAAACTGAAATAACGCCCCAGTTCACATGGAAGTCCATGATGATTGTACGCGTGCATACATACATATACTTCCATGCAATCCATGATCATTGTACGTGTGCGCACATGTACATATACTTATATACATTTATTTGCCCTCAGAGGATCTCTCCCCCACACCGGCCCCAAAGGTATTGGTAAGGGTTCCTTCACGCTGTCATTATTTTATTTATTTTTTATTTTTTATTTTTTATTTTTTATTTTTTTTTTGGCGCAGTCATGTTATTTATTTTCCAATCTGATACATCCTATCAACAAGCTCCCGAGCGGATGAAATCAATGTGTAGTAGTTTAAACTATAGAGATGATATCGCAAAAAAAATAATAATAATAATAATTTCTTATTGTTTGTGCATACTGAAACATAGGCATCTTACAGAAGCCTCAATCTAACATAATAACTATCTGCGACAGTTATCATCAGTGTTATCCAAACAAGTTATTCTCCTGACAGTTATTGCCGTTACAACTATTCCATTGTTGGTCCTATCATCATAACCCCTCTTGATAGTAAAACTTTTATTAATACAACCATTCCTATAACGCTGATAACTCCTTCCCTTAAGGCTCCAACTCTTCGCAAAATGTGATAGAACACTAACCTTGGCCATCCCCGCAGTGGAAGGAGAAATAGCTTGGCGTCCTTGAACTATCATTCAGGCTTGTCACTTCAATTCGACTGATTTGTCTCTGAATCCCTTGGCAAGTTTGTGATATGTTGAGAAGGGCGCTGTTGACAACACTGAGGTTCCCTACAACAAAGCCATCATAAATTACTTGTTTTATGTGTAGATGAGGTGAAAGAAAGGTGAAGGAAAGCAGTTCATTTTAAAGAAGTCCGACATATTTTGTTGAGCAAAAGTCCATTTACAGTGACAATGAAAGTTAAGCGAAGGACATCGCTGGAAATACACGTTTGATAAAATCCGTTCTTAACAAGGGTAGGCTTACCACCAGACACACGCTGAAACGTAATATCAAACCAAGATTGCGAAGAGGATTGTGCGATTTCATATTTAGCCACGCAGCCTGTAGAGATATTCAAAGACAAATTCCTCGTGAACTTGCCGGGCCGCCAAAACAGCTTAGTAGGAGTTTCGTGGACATCAAGTTGGAGTTCGAGAAGGTGATACTGGTCGCATCCTGGGAATAAATCATCTCGATTATACGTTGTCGGATTTCAGTATTTTGTGATGTCTGTTTTGGAGCCTTTCATCTTTTTCCATTATATCACTTATTCCTTGAGTGAATTGTTGTTATTGTTACTCTTATTCTTTATCTGATCTTCATTACCATATATTTTTTGTTATGATTATTATTGTTATGATTATGATCATGATTATGATTGTTATTATTATTATCATTATTATTATTATTGGTATTAATATCATATTGATTAATAGTATCGTCATCATTATTGTTACAATGATTACCATTATTACCAGTATTCTTATCATCTTCGTTACCACTCATTTTTATAATAACCACTGATCTCTGTAGATAAGTGAGAACTCATATATTGTACATAACCTCCATATGATTTGTTGCAATACGTTTACCTTGCATTTCAGTATACCATGTGTAAATGTATAACCTTGTATGATGTTCCTGTTCTGTATATTTAGTGCACATGACGTGGCAACATTCTCCTTGATCACGTGACTATCAACATTGCCTGTGACCGGGGTTTCCCGCCAAATTTCGGTCTCTCGGCGCTGGTCAACCATAGGACCCATGTAACTCCTGAGAATAGAACCTACTAGATTCAAGATTGGTGTTTCCTTCTGTTGATTACGAGGAACATCCCCCAACCCAAGAAGAAATATACAATCTCAAAAGAACCGGATCAAGCATTTATTGTTTCATTTCTGAAGCCGAAGGCGGCCATCTTGGGAAGACCGCCTTGCAGTGGGGTTATGTCTGTAAAGTACACTTAAAGGGGGTGTCACACTAGCACAATTTCCGTGGTTCTTTCACGGTTCCGTGTTTGTTTTTCTCGCTACCACTTGTATTTTGGGTGAATGCGATAAATTCCAGTCAAACGATAATTATCGTTTTCGCTGGCTAGTTTCCGTGGTCTTTTTTTGTTCAAATCATAAGCTATAATAGATAATCGTTATAGTAATGTAAAAAAACAAAAAAAAGTATTTATAATATAAAACGATTCAAAAAGACAGTCTAAACTGTAAATAATATTTTAAAATCTCTTGTATTTAATAAAAACAGATAGTTTGTAACTAGCTACTCGCCTGTTTGTTTACATTTGTGTCCAGATGAGAGTAGCGAGAATATGCCCTTATTTAGCATTACACATTCGTTGTTTCGCATTAAATCGTCGCCACATAGCCAGAATAACGTCCATCATCGCCAGAGCCTGTGCGGGGGTTGAATCCATCTTTCTGTGTTTTGAATTTTGGTCGGACTGTTTCCGTGGTTCTCATCGCTAGTGTGACTGCGCGAGCCAAAATGACCACGATTTCCGCGGTGCCATCGGAAAAGTAATGCGGAAAAGGTGCTAGTGTGGCACGGCCTTATTAGAGCAGAAGGAAGAAATTCTACAGTTTATGATCGTGTATGCTATAGGCAGGGCGATTTGGTATCTGTGGCAACTTTTAAAATAGATGGATCGTGTTTACGCAACTGAAGGGGCTGGTCTGCCTGGGATATGAAAAAGTCGAAAATATTCGATTTATTTTTCTTTTCGGCGAGATTCCTTTGTATGTCCTGGAAGTTTAAAAGTGGGTTTTGCAAATGCAAAGTAAGAGCATAATTTGTTTGACTTTGCACTCACGCATCGCCCATAATGTACGTACCACGACCTAAATAATCCCTCTTCAAAGGATGCTAGTTAAGTTTAGCAATGTAACGAACAATTATGTCATTTAGTACGTTATGTGGAGGTCATGGGTGGGTGCTTCATTATCAGTGTGATGTGAAACAATGGTGTGGTAACCTAGCTAGTGTTACGTATTTGCATGCCTTCTCGCTTTCAGCTGCCACTGCCGGACAGCCTAGCGCGAAAGGGGGAGCAGGTAATGTATAAGCCTCCCCCTACCGGTTCATAACCTCTCCACCATCGATACTTCAGCAGTGTCTAGTGGTCTCCCATGGACACTAGGCAGCTTTCGGTCCCCTGCTAAGCTGTGGGGGATCTCGGAGCAGCAGGAGGCCCTAGAGCAGTGGTTCTCAAGCTGTGTGCCGCGGCCATACCTCAATTTAATGGATATCTAGTTATGTCTTGAATTTGTGCCTTGCATCTGGCCGCCTTATTTTCACGATTATTTTTTTCGGTGTCCCTCCTAACTTCGAAAGGATATGCAAATCTACTTGGGCGCAAGTGGCCCATTAATCATGTATTAATCATGTATTCTACAACTGGAATGATATATTTCATTCCCATGTGCTCATTAATGCATTCATATATTTGATAATAAAACAATAACAAAAATATTGGTAATAATAATTATCATAATAATAATACGTATTAATATTATTACTGTATAGTTATTATTATTATTATTATTATTATTGTATAGTTAGTCCAGGCTATCGGCCGGTTTGTTAGAAGTGTGCGAGGCCCGACCCAAAGAATATTGAGTGATTGACTGATTTAGTGTTAATCGCCACAATTACAGAGCTGTGGTGCGCAATGTGGTCCTCCCAAGATGTCGCCAATCTTGGCTTCAATTTTTGCCACCGGAAAACAAAAGGTTACTCGATCTAGTTTTATCGAGATCAGTGATTATAACTAGCATTATTTTATCATTATCATCTTTATTATTACACCATTACTATTATATTATCCGGATCATCCTCATCACCACCACTATCAATATTATCTTCATCATCACCATCATCACCAACACCAAATAAAAACGATACTGATTTTGATACTAACATTATTGATTTATGATAATCATTGACATCGAGATTATCATAATGTATTGTATTTTTTTCATTCGTCTACATAGACTTCTATTATGATTTCATATTGATCTACCACAATTTCCTTTCTTATTAGACCTGGCATTTGATACAAAAATGTGGAAACGGATATTAAACGGGTAAATATTAACAATCGAGTATGATGAAAACTGCCTTTTCTAATCTTTTACATTTTCCATAACAGATACAACAATTCTCAACTTACCGGAATAGGAAGAGCTAGGTTTAATAATCCATTCCGTTTCAGAGCTACTTTCGATATGCACTTGACGCTTCGTTTTATCGCAGACTTCAGCTTCAGTTCCAGGTTGAAAGCAGTAGTGAGAATCTGCAACGAGCAATTATATAATCATTCACGTTCATCGAGTTATTCTGTGAACACAAACACACACACACACACACACACACACACACACACACACACACACACACACACACACACACACACACACACACACACACACATATAAATATATATATACACACATTTATTTATTTAATTATATATTTACACACACACAAATACACACACAAACACACACACACACACAAACGCGCACACACACACAAACACACACACACACACAAACGCACACATACATACACAGACAGAATCCGTAGACACACGTACAACATGAATCTGTAGCCACACACACAACATGAATCCGTAGATACCACGTAACCACGCAATGTTGTGCATTAAGATCACAACATCACAACAGGAGAGGTGAACCTAGACACACCACATGACTTCTCTGAAGGAGAGGTGGAGCACGGAACAATTATAATTTCTGAAAATGTTTTCAAACAGAAGAGACAATTAAGGTGATTTTACTGGACTACGACACCGACTTCGTGACAACCAACACTGAACATTCACTAGAGGAAAATAAAGATGACAACTCGAGAAACTCGAGATCTTCACCATAATTAAGAGGATGAGTGTTAAAGACAACGATGAAGGTCGTAGATCGAAACGTCGATTCGACGCAGAAAAGGACTATGATGGAGAAGAATCTAATGAAAGCGAGCCGTCAAAGAAACATTTTCTATATTTTCACTGTTAAAGATAGAAGGGCGAAGCCCAAAGGGAGCGAATCGCCCGCGCGCGAAGCGAGTAAGCGCCGCATGCCAAGCAACCTGCCGTAGCCAGGTCTGGCGCAACGGCTGCTTATATATATATATATATTATATATATATTATATATATATATATATATATATATATATATATATATATATACATGGAAATGTGTCTGTGAGTAGACAGATACATACATATCTAGATAAACAAAGACATACATTTAAGTAGGAATAAAATAAACTTTACACACATGTTTACTAATCTTTACCGTTTCGTTTTGCTGTGAAATTATGCCAGCTTGGATTTGTGGTATTGGGTACTTTATCCCGTCTCCCTAGAGCCGTATAGTGTATTTCAGTGCCATTCCCTGCCCACACTCTCACTTGTCTCTCCTCGTCAACCTGGAAGTCAACTCCTCTTGCGCGGAAGGATCCTGTGTGGGAGAGATCGGTGTATTATATATGTTGTCCTTATTATTTTCGTTATTAGTATTATTACTGTTACTGTTTTTATTTCCATTGCTATCGTTATCATCAGTTATATTATTAGTAGTATTCGTAGTATTATTATTATAATAATCATTGTTATTGAGATCATTATCATTATCGCCATCATCATTGTCATTATAATTACTGGGGAAGATTGCGTATGTTTTTTTTTATAAGCTATATATAAACATTGTGTGCATTTATGTATGTCAAGGTAAACATGTATTTATTTAGACTCGTGCAGTAGGAGAGACCGGGTCAAGTCCTTCGACTCTCGAATAAGCTGCTATCCGCTGTCAAAAAATATTGGCCAGGGGAAGGGAGAGAATACTGGCCAAGGGAAGGGACAGAATACTGGCCAAGGGAAGGGACAGAATACTGGCCAAGGGAAGGGACAGAATACTGGCCAAGGGAAGGGACAGAATACTGGCCAAGGAAGGGAAGAATACTGGCATGGCCAAGACAGAATAGGCCAAGGAAGGGACAGGGCCAAGGGAATACTGGCCAAGGGAAGGGACAGAATACTGGCCAAGGAAGGGAGGGCCAAGGGAATACTGGCCAAGGGAAGGGACAGAATACTGGCCAAGGGAAGGGACACTGGCCAAGGGGGACAGAATACTGGCCAAGGGAAGGGACAGAATACTGGCCAAGGGAAGGGACAGAATACTGGCCAAGGGAAGGGACAGAATACTGGCCAAGGGAAGGGACAGAATACTGGCCAAGGGAAGGGACAGAATACTGGCCAAGGGAAGGGACAGAATACTGGCCAAGGAAGGGACAGAATACTGGCCAAGGGAAGGGACAGAATACTGGCCAAGGGAAGGGACAGAATACTGGCCAAGGGAAGGGACAGAATACTGGCCAAGGGAAGGGACAGAATACTGGCCAAGGGGCAGAATACTGCCAAGGGAATACTGGCCAAGGGAAGGGACAGAATACTGGCCAAGGGAAGGGACAGAATACTGGCCAAGGGAAGGGACAGAATACTGGCCAAGGGACAGAATACTGGCCAAGGGAATACTGGCCAAGGGAAGGACAGAATACTGGCCAAGGGAAGGGACAGAATACTGGCCAAGGAAGGGACAGAATACTGGCCAAGGGAAGGGACAGAATACTGAAAGGGGACAGAATACTGGCCAAGGAAGGACAGAATGGCCAAGGGAAGGGACAGAATACTGGCCAAGGGAAGGGACAGAGACAGAATACTGGCCAAGGGAAGGGACAGAATACTGGCCAAGGGAAGGGACAGAATACTGGCCAAGGGAAGGGACAGAATACTGGCCAGGGGCCAAATAAAATAAAATCTGCCTTTACTCACAGAAAGCTACAGGGGTATAATGTGGCCCTTCCGGATAATATAGGTTACAGGGGATAACCATTAAAATACACAAATCTTCCCGAATACTTAACTCGTCTTCATGATCCTTTTTTTCAAACATATTTATTTATTCTAATGCTTTAATTTTGTTGGTTGTATGTAGATACAACCAACGCAGCGAAATCGACGCGAGGGGTAACTATTAGTTCCTGTCCCTCACGGAGCCACTACAATATTTGTAGAAATAAACTATAAGATAGTCTTTACAACACTCTTCTCTTGATATCCAACATATATCCATCTCTTTCTTAGCTCTAAACAACTGCGGGAAATATATTACGCAAAAAACGTATCGTCTGTCAGCGCCATCTCTTGGGCCTTAATTGCGCTAGACTGCGTGCGGCCTTTCGATATTATTCTGTCTTTTAAACTCACAGATGAGCAAGCCTAGTTTTACTCATCTAATCATACGAGATAAAAAACAAAAAAAAAAAATCCATTCGTAGGATTACGTTCTTAATTGGCTCGCCTCGCAATTTCACAACGCTTCGTCGATTTTTCATATTTGTTTGTGTAAAGAGTAACGGTATTTTTTTAGTATAAACTTCTCCCAATTACCTCGTGCCTGGGTTAGATCGTGACGGCGGACTTATCGCATTCCTTCGCAAATCCTTTCAAAAGCTTGTGAAAAAAAATGCTTCTAGTTGCAGTTAACTAATAAAAAGGAAAGAAAAAAATATTGCTAAGCCAAAAATGGTTTCTGTTCACCCATATATTTCGATCATCATAGTTAAACAAAAAAATTGTAAGAAGCTTCGCCAGGCGAACGCCAGCATTGGCGAAAGGTTTTAAAAGTACTTTATAGTATACTATATCAACTTTACACTTTTATACAAAAAATAACTTTATACTTTAACAGAAGAGTTTAAAGATTACTATTTTACTATTCCTAGGTGATATAAGATATTGAACTGTAGGCCTACAAGGGTATCATTAGAAACGCCTCATTATAGGGCGATGGAGCACTACAGCTATGTTTCTACAGCCAAAAGTAAACATGCCGCCATAAAAAACACTTCAGGTAACATTTGTGAAAAGAACATTATCCTTACAACCAAAATAACAACCTAAATCAAAATAAGTCATCTCGGGGGTGGGGGGTAGGAGTAGGGGGAAGGAATACAGCTGATGTCTTGAGCTCTCGACTGGAACATCGAAGGTCTTGAAAAGAAATACGTATATACGTTATTTCATAATATATTATAATTTTAAGATATTTTAGAATTTCAATGTGATTCCTACATCATATCATACACAAATGTGTTACTAATTTATAACTTGAAAGTAAGAAAATGGTATTCAAACAGCTCTAGCGATGATATGATCTTTCGCCAGCCCTGGCGAACGTTCGCCAGGCATGATTTTAAAAGTACGAAATTCCGGATCGCCCGGCGAAACCTTTCGCCAGCCCTGGCGAAAAGTTTTAAAAGTACGGGCCTTAGACCTAAGGCATCTTTTCCAGCGGTTACGGGAAACACGACACCATTTGCACGACAGGAATCGAGCAGACGGTTAACTTTAATCGAGTTGCTAAATGCATTCCTCCTACTTCAGATATTTTATCCATATTCATACTTATATTGGAAATCTATAACACCGCAGTACCCACCATAAGATATCAAAAGCCATCTTGGATATCATATACCAAAATACTGTGTACCTGTTGGAAAAATTACCAGAACAGTAAAATAGCAAGCAGTTAATCGCGATCATTCCCATTACGTCACAGAAATGGGTGGAGCTTAGAGGCCTGTTTCGCCTCCGATCACAAGACAGCTTTTGGTGTCGCGTCGCGTCTCGCGAATCCCTAATTGCCACCGGAAAAGATGCCTCTAGTCTCCCCTACTCATACCAAGAGACTTACCAACAGCTCCTCTGGGCAAAATTCAATACCTAATTAACAGGAAGAATAATTCGTATAAAACCAAAATGTTCAGAAAGAAACTTCCTTAAAAAAATCGCATCTTGAACTTACTATCCTCCGAACTTGTCAACACACAGACCAGGAGAGACAGGGACAGGGCCAACCTCAGCAAGGTCTCCATCGTTGCTCTTCGCCTCTGCACAGCTAGGCGTGCACTGTTAGTGCGTTGCGCCAGAGCAGACAGCTCGAGGAAATCAGCTGATAAGAGTGTCAGTTCATTTTTTGTTTGACATTTAATTGGAGAGATAGTCCAATGTTCGCATATGGGAGAGGCTTAAAAGATTAAAGTAAAATTTGAATTGAACTCTAATTGCGAAAGTAAATATTTAAAACCAGTCTGATAAATGTTCATATTTTTCCTATTTAGATTCTAAATTCTAGGAAAAAATGGCCAACATCTTTAATTTCTATTTTTTCCGTTCATTTTTATTTGTTTTTCTTAATCTTTTATTCAAGTTCTCAAAAGCTCAACACAGACCTACCACACACTGCATTTGTTTGTAAGTTTACATCATATCACCCTACTTTTTCTCCATTTTCTTTGCCATCTCTATCTTTCGTTTCTTTTGTATTATTTTTTGTCTTCATTATCTTTTTTTCCCACATACTCTGTGTTTCTTTTCCGTCTTGTCTCTTCCAGGACGTACTTCCTGTTGCTTGTATCAGGCGTTTGTGTTTGCTTCTTGTGCTCGTGTGTTTGTGTTTGCTTATTGTGCGTGTGCTGTGTTTGTGCTTGGAAGGGGACGTGTGTTTGTATTTGCTTACATTGGCGTGTGTTTGTGCTTGCTTAATGCACGCGTGTTTCTATTTGCTTATATCGGGCTTGTGTTGGTGTTTACTTATTGCGGGGTGAAGGGCTATTTGTCTGTGTTTGTGTTTGCTTATTGCAAAGGCTGGGCTGTTTGTTTATGTTTGCTGGTAGAGGGCGTCTGTTTGCTTTTGCTGCGTTTGTGCCCGTTCGTTTTAGTCAGCGTGTCATTAGGCGCGTGTTTGTTTGTGTTTGTGAGCATTTGTGTTAACCATGCGTGTCTGTGTTTGTTTTCGCATAATGCACACGTGTGTTTAAGTGCGTTCGTGTTTGTCAACTTATGTTCGCTCCTTGATGGAATATCCTCCTCCGGCATGCACATCCCGCCCGCCATCCTTCCTGGCACTGCTCGATAGAGTACAAAATCAAGCCCGCCGCCTTGTGGAATTCCAGATCCGGGAAAATGATCGCCCGGTCTACTTCCAGCCAGGGGCACCGCAGGGGCGTTGTGCGTGTTCTACAAGGTCAACAGCAGAACCAACAGCAGAACAGCCCTCACCTCGCTACGTTACGACTTCAGCCCCAGGCTCCCTCAACCCACTACACCAGGGAGAGTCACAGCTGAAGTCACGAAACTCACGTCCCCTTCGTCGCAGTACTTCAGAATGTGGGATCAGCTGATGTGAGAGACGGACGCATCTCTTAACCTCCATCCAGCAGTTTAAGTCAGCAGTACACTTGCGGAGGCTGCAGTATGATTGCGGATAACTTTTAATTGGGATAAGCTGCCTTAATGCTAACTAGTTTTGTTTATTTTATGACAATGGGTCATGCTGAAGATAACTAAAGCTTCATCACTAAATGTTTTAGCAGAAAGCTACTCACGATTGTTAACGAATGTATTAAACTATAATATAGTTAATGGAGAGAAAGAGAGAGATTTGATATGAAAAAAGTATTTACAGAACAGTTGTTAATCAAATATAAGTTCTACATACCTGAGGGGCTGTACCATCATGCGTATATTATTCACGTATCTAGTTGGTGAGAGAGACAAAGAAGAGAAAAGGGAAAGAGAACGAGAGAGAGGGAATGTTTGGTTCAATAAAAAGGTATGCATTTTTCATTAT